ATATGAGTGAGGTGTTTTTGTTTGTTTGTTTAACAGTCATTTGAGGATTACTAGTCTGGGTGAAATACTGTATAAGGAGATGCTTTCTGTGTTTTAAACCAGAAGTTAGGAGGTCTATATGGTGTTCTAACGTAAGTTCTATATGGGACTGAAATTATTTTTGAATCTCCAAGACTAATCAATAATCTTGCTTCAATACTAATTTGTCTGATCTTCAAAATTCTTGTAAGCAGAAGATTCCAGCAATCTGGTTTGATTGTCAGTCTCCTGGCAGTTGATGTACTGCTGTGATTTCTGTCATTCAATGAAACCTGGTTTTGTTTTACCATGAATTCCTGCTTTCTTTTCCTTTCTCATTCCCATCCATGACTGTTTTCTATTTTGTTTAGTTCCAAGAAATAAACATCTGAACTATAAGCAGATTTAGAGATTTACATACACAGGAAGTTGAGAGCAAAACCAGTATGTCTATTTTATCTGAGCTTATTGCCTGCTTTTGTTTTAGGCAAACAAAGATTAATTTTTATGTGTGCATTCGATACCAAAGAATTCATTATCTAGTAACCTCAGTTCTTGATGCATTAAGTTCAAGTCACAGTATTAAACTTTGAAAATAAAATACATTCACTCTGAAAATCAAGGGTACCGGATCCTAGACCCTCACTATAATTTGTCAAAATCCAAACACAGTTCCTGTCTAATTAATATACAGGGGCATGTATTTGTGAATAAGACTGTCTCTTGCTCAATCCTCCAGAAAGTTACTCAAGAAGCCAAGTCACTTAGCAAAATTAGTGGTCTGGATTGTTTGAGATCTAATTTTCTAACCAGTTTCCATATTTCATTGTCCTCTATGAATCTGCTCTGCAGAAGTAAAATGCATACCCTGCTTCTTGCTCACTCAGCCAAATGAAAGTGATGGAACACATAATAATACCTTGCCAAGAGCAGGTAAGGAAGTCTGATTCACAGATCAGAAAATGATCTCCTCCTTGGGCGCCTGGGTGGCTCAGTTGGTTAAGTGACTGCCTTCGGCTCAGGTCATGATCCTGTAGTTCCTGGATCGAGTCCCCGCATTGGGCTCCCTGCTCAGTTGGGGGTCTGCTTCTCCCTCTGACCCTCCCCCTCTCATGTGCTCTCTCTCTCTCTCTCTCTCTTACTCTCTCTCTCAAATAAATAAATAAAATCTTAAAAAAAAAAAAGAAAATGATCTCCTCATCACATAGCAGAAAGTGGTAGAGCAGTGAACTGTTGCCAGCGTGGATTGGGCCTGAATGGAGATGCCAAACCAAAAAAGTTGTAGTCGGAGTGTAAGAATATCCTTTAAGGAAAGCAGTGGGCTAGACCACACTCTCATTGTCACAACACTTGGGAGCCAACAAAAGACCACGGACTTGAAAGGGATGAAAAGCTTTTCAGAAACCAAGTTAATGAGAAGGGACAGAGTGATACTTAAAAATATATCAGTGGGTCACAAAATCTTTGAGAAATTCTCTCTATTCTCTCTCTACGGGGATGTCTACTTCTCAAATGGGATCTGACACAATGGTTTGATGGATGACATCAGCTGAAGATGGAGGAGCTACACTTCGGTCACCTTCCTCTAGTGAAGGCTGATGGTATTGAGAATTTTATGTCCAAAACACAGGTTGCATGAGAATGGAGATTATTCCTATATGTATTTATAGTACTTACGAATTTATAATATTATTTATTATTTATACACAAACTTATTTATGAAAAGTCAGTTTTGCATGCTAGACAGATGATTACTGAAATGAAATCATCATCTTCCACTCTGCCTGACCTTCACATTTCTTCCTATAGACTAAGAGATGTTGCCCATGTTGAGATGTGTGCATGTGTTTAAGAGAAAGAAGACAGTGAAGAGACAGAGATAGAGAAACTGAGATAAAGAATGAAGTAATCCTCAGATCCTGATGACCACAGGAGAAAAAGTGGAGGCTTGGGCAATTGGTTTTATGTTTTAGTTCACACATCCAGTAAACAGGCTTCTTTTCCTTTTTTATAAAGGAAATGAGACAGGAGTGCCCAATTTGGTGGAACCAAGCATGTGAACTATGGAGAAAAAAACAGACTATAAATGACTAAAATTGGCCAATGGGTGCTTTCTTCCCATTCTCTTACACATTCTTTTCCAAATTTACCTTAGCTCATTTCCAAGTAAGCTGTATTGCCTGCAAATTCATCTCTCAGCCACCTCTATTCTGTATTTCCTTATTTTACGCCCTCTGTTTCCCCTTCACCTTACCTATTCCTGGGATATCCCTATAAGGCAGCATCCCATAGGATAATCTCTACTTGCTCTAAACCGGTATGTAAATCTTTGAATGTCAGTTGGCACCAATGGTACCTAGTATTTATGGTACATATCTTCCCTCTGTTTTCATGAACCGTTTGCTGCCAGGGAAAGAGTCTGAATTCCTTTGGTAGCTTCAGAAGGCCTTGTATAAAGAATTTTAGTTATTTGAAATATAAAAACAATTTGAGCACTTGCTTTTATTCCAATCAAAATGGTATTCTTCCCATTCCAAAAATGCATTATTAATTTCACAGTTAACTTCCAATGGGACAGAGAAAAGGCAAAAGTACCAAATTAAGCTATGATCTCTGATTTCTCTTCTGAACTCCCACCCACACTACTCCTTCAGAGCTTTAGTAGAATTCTGTGATATATTAAAGTCTGCTGTCTAAATGTCAAGTAAGTATCTTGACAATTGGTTTCTAATAGATGTATACAATCATCTCATTTCATTTATTAGACTCATCATTTCTTACAAACTTCTATTCTATATCTAAAGTTAGCAATTTGGATGTAGCCTAACTATAGAGAATCTGTAGATTTTAAGGACATCTGTGGTAGCTTAAAATAATGCACAGTGAAAACATATTTTGTCCAGTGTGGGCTGAGATAAAACTGAAAAGAAAATGTCAGTTTTATCACATTAAAATATATCCTTGCAATCATTTTCTCAGGGATCTCTGAAACTAACCTGCAATAATCCAAAGCATTTTCAGACAGTTCAATCATATTCCAAATGATGAATATCATTTATAAACTTTCAAGGACCAATTCATGCTATATAGCTAATGTAATGGAAATTGATGAACTGTCTGCTAAGGGCTTTAAAGAATTTAATTTAATGGATAATGGTAATTTTTCAAAACTAATTTGTAAAATAAAATTACATTGGGAAATATGAGGAAAATGATATAGTTCCTTTGGTTTTTTTTAGGTTATGATTTTTAAAATTTGCTATTAATTCATCTCCATTAGTCACTGACACTGATGAAGCTCTAAATTGATACTTCAGATTTAGGGACTGTTTTTTAAATAATCTCATTTCTTAACTGAGTGGGTCATCAACTGCTTTCTCCTCTTAGTAACTATGTCTGGAGAGGTTCTCAGTCTCACACATGCTTTGTCATATTTCTTATTTTATGGCCAATCTTTCCCAAATTTTAAATGCCAATGTATTTTAGATAAACATAAATATTTCAAATAAGTATTTCCTTTTCCTCAGAATTTTGCCATGCACTCTGTCCAAGGGTACAGGCCCTCCACTCTGCAAAGTAGGAAATTCTTGCTCTATTACTTAATAGAAATGTATACCATTTTTCTCTTTTCTTTACATAGAAATCAGGAACTTTAATTAATAAAATAATAATCTGTGAGCAATATTTTGTTCAAGATTATCTGTCTGTAGCTGATGAATTATTTAAAAATTTAGCAATATGATATATTTTCTGATATTGAAGTTGGAGAAAAGTTGTCTTCTACCCAGAAAGTTGTCCAGGTTGACCAAGTGTTGTCTTAGATTAGGGTCTTAAGTTGTAATTACACCACCTCAGTAGGAACTGGCCCTGGGTAAATAAGAAATGTCATTAACCTTTTTGATGGAGTTATGAGAGTAAAAAGCAAAGTCACTCTCACCAGCCATATTAACTACTAAGATTTGTAACTCTAAACCCATCTTATTCCAGGAAAAGTCTATATAAATTAAGATCATTGAATTTACTTAGAATGACAAAATAAAGCAACATGAAAAATATTACAAAATTGCATAGTATCAAGAAGCATGAAATAAATGCAAGAGCTTGTAGGGGCCATAAATGCTATGGTGGCTAATGAAACTGAAAGTCTACTATTGGCTGGGATTATCAAATACAGTGTAAAATAAGCTATCTTCTTTTTGTGGGCATTGCATCACTGAATAAATGATCTGAATTGGGAATTTCTTTGGAACTGAATTCAGTCCTAAACATTTGTTCTCTGTGATATTAAGTAATAAGGGACTGCAACTTGAGCACCAAACTCTTTTGCTTCCAGACTATGTTTGAGTTACTTTTTAAAAAATATTAAAGGTTAGTGATCCTGGGAGTTTGCACTTTATGAGTTAAATGTACATTTTAAGCATAAATCAGGTTTACAGAATGCTGTTAAATATTACTTATGATTTTTTGTTAACAGAAGTCAATAAGAACCATTCACCAAGATTTCTTAGGAAGTTCACATCACTTCTGTGAGGCAGGGAAAGAAAGATGATATCATACCCAATGTTGAATTAAAAAATTTAAAAGGTAAGGGCACCCATAGAGTTCTGGTGATTGTCCTAGAATTAGCTGCAGAGTCTACATTTATACCTGGACCTGTTCTCTACTCTCTGCTCTGTTCTACTAGAGCAGCCTCTGCTCAGATTAGAAGAGCAAACGAAATGCAAGCATTCCACTTAATGGTAACTGAATTTTTGATAAAACTTGACAGTCAGATTAAAACTCAGATTAAGTCCAGATGCAGTTGGCTTCAGATCTTCTGCTATGTGTCCTGTATTCATGGTAAAGGTCAATGTTCTTTTGACTCACATATTTATTTCTTCATCTATAACATTACCTCCCTGAGTGCTAGACCCCTATTTATTCGACACGCAGCAGTGTGAACATATACTCTCAACACGAGAAGCAATCCTAGAATGACTTACATGGTGAAGACATCGAGTGTATCTCCAGCGGTTCTTGCCATCTCAAAGTAGGTCTGCAGAATGTTGACAGTTCCAGACAGTGCTTCATGGCCACAACCACAGAACAGGGCTACCCCAGCGTAGAGCAGGATGGTGGCAATCAGGGAGGCATAGGGAATGCCTCCCAGGCATTTAATACAGCACTCAAAACACCCTGCAGAAGACCAATGGAAGACAGTTAGGATTTAATATTTTTTCTTCATCTATATTAATATTAATATTACGTTAATATGTTTTCGTTCTTAGAAATAAGTCAGCATCAGGGAAGGCGTATTTGCAGTTATAGATGACATCAGGTCAACATGTACATCCAGTCTGCCCTGCAGGGTATAAAAATCAAGTTTCTTAATTATAAACCCATCCTCTACAAGTAAGAGAATATTTAATTCCATTGAAGGCTTCCTCTTCTACCCCCAAACCAATAGAAACCCTTCCTTCCTGACCCAGACTTCCCATAATAATCTTCACCGTGTATATCATTCTATCTTGACTTTATTGCTGTCAAATTTCATCTGCTTAAGTTTTTATTTCAATGACATATAATCTATGGAACTCCCCTTAGCTGTATTTTTAAAAACAATGGGTCAAAACCTGTTCGTTGCGAACCCAATTTAGTGAACTTTGCTCAGCAAGTTTTTAGAAGGGAACGAGAACAGATTAGGCAATATCTGAGTGCACTGCATGCAGTAAAGCAAATTATTTTAGAGGTTTTTGAGTTCAGATATTAATTTATGTTATCTTTGTAGTGACTCAAATTTGAAATCTACTTCTTGCTGTGGTGCGTGATTAAAAAAAAAATGAGAAAGATACTGAAAAATGAGAAACCAGGACAGGTAAAATCCTCACTCTACCACTGTGTGTTTTTTGGCAAGTTTATTCTTTTCATTTCATCATTTGTAAAAGGGTGACAGTAAGAATTCCCCTCAAGTCGTTCTTGTGAGCATTAAGTAGGTAATCACACTACTGGATATTTCCCCAAAGAATACGAAAACACAAATTCAAAAAGATATATGCACCCCTATGTTTATAGCAGCATTATCTACAATAGCCAAATTAAGGAAACAGCCCAAGTGTCCATCAGTACGATGAATGGATAAAGAAGATGTGGTATATACACCATGGAATATTACTCAGCCATAAAAAGAATGAAATCTTGACATTTGCAACAACATGGATGGAGCTAGAGAGTATAACACTAAGTGAAATAAGTCAGTCAGAGAAAGACAAATGCCATATGATTTCACTCATATGTGGAATTTAAGACACAAAACAAACAAAGAGAAAAAAAGAAACAAACCAAAAAACAGACTCTTTGCTCTAGAATAGATGGTTATCAGAGGGGAGAGGGGTAGGTATGGGTGAAGTAGTGATGGGGATGAGAGTGCACTCATCATGATGAGCACTGACTAAGGTACAGAATTGTTCAATCACTATATTGTACACCCAAAACTAATATAACACTATATGTTAACTACAATGGAGTTTAAATTACGTTACATTGCATTACATCACATTACATTAAAAAGTGAGTTAAATAGTGTGTGCCATGGAGTAACCACTCAATAAACGTCAGAGCTACATTACTAGATATACATGTAACTACATTAAGATTAACTATGATTGTATTGTAATATGGTTTTCAAAAATACTTTGACGACAGGAATCGCTTTTGCTTTTTAAAGTTTTGTCACATTAGTCTTTTGAAAGACAGCTTGGCTGTTAATATTAAAGATAAGTATCTTTAATAACTTAAAGAACTTGCTAGATATCTTCTAAGAGCTTAACTAGAAATGCTTAAGTGTGTATGTTTTGCAATAAGACATGTTGATGAGGTAGTCTACCAGCTGCTGGTAAGAAAGGAAGCCTAAGTAAGGGGCTACCAGGCTCAGAGCAACTCCTAGGATGGTCTCAGTTTCCCCTGCACCCACTTGTGTGTGTCCCCCAGTCTCCCCTATATATATCTTACTCCAGAGATTGCCTCCTGCTTTGCTCCTTTTGGAAATTCTTGATCAAAGCTCCTTTTGTGGGCGCCTGGGTGGCTCAGTCGGTTAAGCGACTGCCTTCGGCTCAGGTCGTGATCCTGGAGTCCCGGGATCGAGTCCCGCATCGGGCTCCCTGCTCGGCGGGGAGTCTGCTTCTCCCTCTGACCCTCCCCCCCTCTCATGTGCTCTCTCTCTCGCTCTCTCTCTCAAATAAATAAATAAATAAATCTTTAAAAGAAAAAAAAGAGTATCTTTAAAAAAAAATCTCCTTTTGTAATGCTGAAGCCTCTCAAAAACTCTCTACGTGAGTGGTTCTTCCTTTTTGCAGAAACAAATAAATGAGATTGGAAAACAGATCGTTATTTATTGTACTTAAGTAAGTCATGGGAAGATCTGTGTGCCCTTTATCTAGAATGCATATATGTTTACAGTAACATACAATGCATGCGATCATTGTAAAGTTCTGTGTGAATTAATTTTATATTTAGAGAATATAAAAACTAGCCTGCTAATTTTAATACTGATCATTGGAACTGGCCTTCTTGAGAGAATTATGGGCCACCTCATTTGCCCCAGAGGCAAAAAAAGAAATCTGAATATGTCCTCACATCCATAGCAATTGTTAGCCCAGGAAATCATTTCCTGAACATTCCTTCCCCAACACACACACACAATGTGGGGAAGAAGAAAAGGTTAGAACAGCTTGACACTTCATATGATAGGAAGAGATTTCACTAGCAGATGGATGAGACCAGAGTGTAGTCTCTGAATGTCAGTGAACACAGTTTTGAGTAGAGATTATAACAGGGTAGCAGAAAAATCTTTGAATTATTCTTTGTTTCTCCATGTTGTAAAAACTTCATCTTATTGTTTATTTAAAAATAAAGAAGACTAAGAAACAAAATTAGTACCAACCCAAACAGGAGTTTACCCTTATTTTGGTGAGTGCCCCGAAACAGCCCTATAATTTCAAATCCAATTCCTTTGTGATTTCTCTCCCTTACTATTCTTGAAGAATTCAATATAGGTATGTGGGATTTTTTCTGCAGGCATTGAGGTATCAAAACTAGATTAACAAAACCCTCCAGAATAGAAGTTTAAATATAAAGAAAAGAGTCTAAACATTGAATTCATAGATAGGGATTACCTTTCCTGGGTCTTACCAAAGCTTATAACAAAACAAACATAAAATCAGAATGAGGCCCAGGAACAATGAGGTGGTAAGCCTATATAGATGATCACCAAAACGCTACTGAAGACTTTTGCTTAATTCTGCTAATCTGAATTCTATCAGAGTCGGTTTCTACTTATTTCACATTTTCTTGATTGTGGTTTAGATGGACCAATACTAAGACCCCCATGCAAGCAAGCCTAGTTACCTAGACTCCATATATCTCAGGAGAGGGAGGGTGGTGGTGGTTATTAGTATCACAGTTTATAGGACTAGTTATAGGAGTGCCTTTTAAATTTAGAAAACCATGAGCTAAATTTCAATACTGTGTAAGCCCAAATTAACAACCCTGAGTTAACAGGCATTTCTGAATGAGTTCAAGATCTCCAAATTAAATGGCAATATTTCTTTTACTCCCTATTTAAATGCTGCCATTTAAATCCCTCAGAATTATATTAACCCCATTGATGAATAAATACAAATTTCTCTAGCCCTCCCTCATTGCCAAGTCAGGCTAGACTCCTTCAGTTGGAGTCCTGATCCTCTGCAAAGCTTTTACTCAAAATAAGAAACTTGAAGAATCTTATCCTGCACATTCTGCACTTGCAGTGGGCTAGATCCTAATTACCCCCACTCTTCCACGGGGCCTGAGTTGCCTATTAGATTTAAAAGAAGACTCTCAGAACTCCCATCTGGGGAAGCAGCGCATCATTTCAGCCTTCTCTCCAGCTGCCAGAATCCCACATAGTTGCTGGCAGGGGAGTTCTTTCCACCCACAGTGAGAAACAGCCTTGGCAGAGCAGCAGAATCACCATGGCAACCGTGCTCTGGGGCCCAGGACATGCTCCCAACAATCATCCTTTAAGGCTGAGGATTCGGCTGCCACCCACCACCACGTTTTCACTGCCCCTCAAAATGAGAAACCACTCCATTTAGTGATTATCGGTGAAAGCGTCGTACGTGGAGTGTTGGCAATGGAGAAAATACATTTCTTGAGAAAATCTCTATAAAAACAATAAAGACTACTTTGCCCAGGAAACACTTTCAAGACTAGATATGAGGAGAATAGGCCACTGGTTGTCAAGTAGAGCTGGTAGTTCAAGTACCGAACATGGAATTTACATGCTAATCCAGTAGACGCTACCCATATACACAGTGAAGCACTTCTCATACATATCCAGTTCCTGGTTGCATTTTCTCAAATGAATGAATACTATGCCTTTACTTTCAAAGGAAAAAAAAAATAACCAGGAATTACAAGACTTTCTTTTCAACACACTCTGAAACATTAGCATTTGTCCAATATTTAGTGGGGCTATACACTGACTTGTCCTAATATAAAAATTAAAAAAAAACAAACAAACCCAGAAGTGCTTGACATACTCCATATTTTTTAGAAAGAGGAGATACATGATTAATTTATCCCCATTTAAACATCATGAAGTAAACACAAGCCTTTGCCTTTGCTCATTCCACAAAGTGCACCAAGGTAAGTCAAGGGGAAAGAACGTAAACCAACAAGAAAAAGAGCCTGGAATATAAGCAACTGAGGAGAGAGGTTAGCAACACAGTGGTGGATTCTGGGAAAGAGATTGACAAATGAGACTGACAACTAAATCACTGACAAATATCTCCTAACACCATTCACCAATGAGTTGATGCCTTCTCTACCGAGCTGTAATGACACCTTGGTCATCACCAAATACCCTGAGAGGTCTGGGTGTATTTGGGGGCTGTCTATTCTGGTCCATCAGTGTCTTGGTCTGTCTCTGGGCCAATGTCACACTGCCTTACATGTTTGTTCATCTTCCTCATGTGTATCACGCTATTAATGTCTCTTCTACATGACCATGTAAATTTCAGAAACAGTTTGTCTGATTCCACAGTTTAACTAATTGGGATTCTGATTGGTATTTATATACTGATTATGTATCTAGAAATTTTGCGAAGTTCTTTTGATGACCTTCTGAATTATTTTGATTCTGTGCATTACTCTGAGTT